ATTTGAATTTTCATGCTTAAAATGGCCCTAGCACGAAATGGGTAGGTTGTTCATGAAACATAAAAGTCATTCAAATCAAAATATGTTATTTAATTAATTTTTTTTATTTTATTTGAATTTTATGGATTTAAAATGAATTAAATCAAATAAAATTAAATAAAAATAGAAAAATTAATGTTTAATCTTGAAATGAATCATGGGACACGTGGGTGGCATGACAAGGCTGAATCAAGTGGAAGAAAGTGGGCCCTTTTGTCAAAAATTGAAGTTTCAAGGATAGTTGACTTTTGCCATTTCACAAAAATTTCCCAACTTCTCCAATGCATATCTTGCTCAATTTTGATCATATGAACATGTTCTTGGACATTTTGGAAAGGTCTTGAAGTCCTCTAACCAATGACTTTGGTCCCATGTCATTTTGATTTACCAATCTCAAGTTATGGTCTTTGACTTAAAATGCCTTTTTGTTGACTTTTGAAAATGACCTATAATGTTGAAATTGATAACCTTTTGTGAGAGCATTTCTTGGACTTGGAATGTGAAGATGAATTGTAGGAAATGTCATCCCCTTCAAAATGAGCATTGGATGTTATTTTTCTGATGAACCATGAAAAAGTTATGCCTTGGTCAAGTTACAGTTGACTTTTCAACTGTCCAAAAATAGAAACTTTTGCATCTTGATGATTTTTGAGCCATTCTTGTGAAATCATGGTCAAGATTTGACCAAATGATGATTGTGGCTTCAAAATAAGATGTTGACCAAAAATTTTGACTTTTGACTGCCAAATGACCATTTTGCCCCTACAGTTGATTGTGAAGCAAATGAGGCTTTTGACTGTGCAACTTGACCTTGTGAGCCTTGAAACTTGACATGTAGATGCTTGACAATGTGTATGAGCATATGGGACTTGATTGAGCCCTTGAAAACCTCAACTTCCTTGCAAGAACCAAAACCCTAATTTTGACTGGCTTAGGAGGATGGTTTGACTATGCAACCCTTGAGTAGATTTGAGCAAATTGAGATGATGCTTGTCAAAACTTTGAAGAATATGGGAGGGAAAATTTTGGGGTACAACAAACGGCAATACAAGTCAAATTCCACACAATGGGAATTAACTTCACCAAAACAATGCATATGCACGCACATCACTAGCATGCAACATCAAATCAGTCTATGAAATACATTAATTTATCATAACTGAACCAAAACCAAAAACATGATATCTCAACGATCATGCACACCATCATTAGCAACATAAACATGCCTTTCATTCACACAATACTAATACATCTATCCATCACAGGTTCACTGCTACATACACACCCATGTGCGTTAGCCAATAATCACTTATTCCGGGATTTGACTCATTTTCAAAATAATTTCAGGTTTTAGGAAATCTTTTCATTTTATAAAATAGAGCATTAAATTTAAGAAATAACGTCCAAAACGACACTCAAAACGGACTTACGGTTTGAAAGTTATGAATTTTCAAAGTTTAATATTTTTCAAAAGTTACAGCAGAACCCGGTTCCTACATATGCAGGAACCGGTTCCTGCGAAGTTCAAAAATCACGCTTCTGGAAAAATGTATGGGAACCTGGTTCCTACCTATACAGGAACTGATTCCTACGTACATTTTTGCCAGTTTTTATAAATTCACACAGTGGAACCCGGTTCCTCCCCACTGGGAACCCGGTTCCTCCCCACTGGGAACCGGTTCCCACGACCTGCAGAGTCAAATTCTGCACTTTTGACAGCATTTATTCATTCTAAACCAATTCCAAACATACCCATACGAATTGCAACATGAGAAACACCAAAACACATCCATTTTGCACCATTATAACATCAAACAACATTATTTCATCATTCCTTTTTATCATCTGACACCCTAATGGTTTTCAACCTACAATTCGACGCAATAGGGACAATTCTACGGAACCCTAGAATTCTAAACCGGGATTCCCTAACATACTATGATCCATACTATTGAATATCTAAACTGATAATACGAATTAACTAATCGAAATCACCCCTTACCTTGTGGGTTCTTCGAATTCTGACGCTTCCGGTTTTCTCCTTCTTTTTCCTCTTCTCAAATGCACGTATGATGAATATTCCAAAATAACTCTCTTTCTCTTCTTTTTCCTTTTAATACTCCTTTTATTATTCCAATAAAATAATTAAATTAGTAATTAGTAAGAGTAGAGTATTTTACCCCTCACACCCTCTAATCACTCTTCACACCACCAATACTTCTTTCCTTTAATTAATTAAATTAATTCCAATAATCCAAAAATACCAATAATTAAATTTCCAATTAAATTAATAATTAAAAATTCTAATTATTTAATAATCGGATTATTTGGGGTGTCACAGTATATGTCTATAACAACTCAAATCCCTAGCACAGAGCAAAAATCAAGGACAACAATCCATAAAGATTCGTAAAGCAAGTTTGATATAACGCCAAGGGCGACAAATATACATGAGTTCAAAGAAAATATACATACAAACCTAACCAATAGAGAATACACAAAGACGAAGAGAAATGAACCACAGATCTATCGGTTTGTCAATGTCGGTCGAAGAGTAATTCACCCCAGATCATCGATATGTAAGCTTCATAGTTGTTATCTAGGCTAATCCTAATAAAATTTACAGGTTGATGGATTTGGGAGCAAAAACTTTCCCAAAACCATCCCCTAAAAAATGAATGAAATAAAGTTACAAAATAAATTTCAACAGACCGCGCTAAGCGGGCCTAGCACGCTAAGCGCGACTTGCTTATTTTACGCATCAAACCGACCTAAACCGCGTTATCCACGTTAAGCGGGCTTCAAATTATTGGTTCTGCCAAATTGTCAAACGCAAGCAGTGCACTATAAAATGCGCTGAGAGACACTCACACTTAGCCGTCTTTGCGCACTAAGCGGGCTCTCCTGGACAACATGTCCTAAAACTGGTCTTTTATTCCGAAAACACGCATCTGGAGTCGTGCCTTCTACACCTTATTCCTCAATGCTCCAAAATGCAACAAATACTTACAAAATGAATGAAAAAACATAAAACAATACACTATATACACAAAAATACAAATAAACACAAACTAAACGTATTTACACAAAAGTCAGGTTTATTTAACGATATTAACAACAAAAAGTCGATAAGTGCAACAAAAAGTATATACAAAAATAACTACAATTTGCACTTATCAGTCCCTCCGATGGGATCCATTTGCTATTATCCCATAAAAATACTCAACCAATTCAAACTCTTTCTCCTTCGGGCCTTTCTTCGAAACTCTCAAAAGGGTATGTTAATTCTACTCTGCGCAATACCACATGGAAATCCCCAAAGATCGGGTGACACTATGTCTACTTGCTAGAGCACGAATATAGCATTATCCGTCTTCAGGCATTTTTCTTTTGAAAATACCTCTTTAGGTAAAAACATGTTAATTCCTTCCTATGCCTACGCGTGAGTCACCAAATGTCGAGTTGTGGTAGAAAGCGAAATTAATATTGTTCATAAAAAATACAAAACAAAGGAAAACTTTTGAGCCGAACTACGACGCTCTGATTCCTTAAAAGGGATACGTAGGCATTTGGTCATGGGGTCTAGGCGAGCAAAACTTTGTAATTGTTCCTTATTCTCCCCGTGTTTTCTTTTGCATGCATTTCCTCTTTGCATTTTTTCCTTTAGCCCTAGATTAGAATACACCCTTTGATTAGAATAACAAGAGTGGATCCCGTGGAGTACCACAGACGTGAGGGGTTCTAATATCTTCCCCTTGCGTAATCGACTCTCTTACCTGTATCTCTCGGTCGTAAGACTTTGATTTCACCCTTCTCAACTTTAGTCGATGTTTAACTTTCCCTTCTTGTGGGATAAAAACGTTCAATGGCGACTTCATTGATTTTCTCTTGATGATTTTCGGTCGGTTGTTTTATATTGTAGCACCCAGAAGCAACTTGCAGATGTTCTGACGAAAGTTGTCAAGACTGAACACTTTATCTGTTTGAGGGATGAAATTGATGTTATAGAATTCAGTTAGTTGAATATGAATTAAGGGGTGGTGTTAGGAATAATTCATATTTAGAAGTATTTGTATTAACCAGAAGCATGTTTAGCTTCTGGAGTCCTATTTGTTTTGTTAGCTTAACTATTAAGCATAGTCTTTTGTTAGAGTCTACGTGGTAATTTATTTTGTGTATATAAGTCACTTTGTAACTAAGGTCTTTTCTTTCTCTCTCTTCTTCCATCTTTATTTTTCATCTTTAATCTTTGTGCACCCACACTGTAAGAACTAAAAAAACTATAAGAGAAGTTATTAAGAAAAATATTCAATTTAATGAATTGGATAGAAGCATGGTCATAGATAGAATATTATGGCGAAAGTTAATCCATATAAACAAGGGCACTAAATAGGATAATGATTGATTGTTGTTGCAGACTTGTCTCTTAAACAAAACTCGACTTGACCCGGCCTATTCTCACCGTGAATTAGGAGGCTCAATGATGGACATCTTTAATTTGGAAGCAACACTTACTTTTTAATAAATATGCTCTGGGCTAATTGAATTGAGTGCGTGATTCATGACAGAAACATGTCACTTAAAGAAAAAATGTATTTTACAAAGGCAACATCTTTTCATTGAAACTACTTATTACATTTACACAAGATATATATACATAAAACGGAACAGTTATTTACAGTTTCAATTACAAAGAGTTACCAGAAGGATAAGATAATAAACTACAATACCAAAATGTAGTACATTTTAGCAAGCATTCAACTTATAAAACCCTTCTCTCTGATTCAATCTTCTGCAATTGGTTTTATCAGTTCCTGAAAAATATAGTAGTAGAAGTTAAGTTGACGGACTAACTACTAATTTGACACATCAATATATCAAAATTGGCACTTAATAGGAGAACAAGATAGTACTGAATTACCTCATGGAACTGCATGACACCATGTTGCACATTAGAAGAATTAACAATTGTTTCCGACTTGGGAGTTGGGATACAAAGAAGTTGTCTTGAATAAATATTTGCAACAAGGCTTAGGCATTGAAGATGTGTTTTTTGTTGAAATGGCCGGTAAAGTACGCGTAAGCCAAGACTCTGATGGAGCTTGCAGTGAAGGAAGGATAAGAGGAATCTCGAAAAAGCTTGTTGCACCAGTTAGTTCTTGATGGCCTAATGTCAAGCCACATTGGCTTTCTAAGTCGATTTTCCTATTGTATTCCACTGTTCGTTCTCGATCAATCAATTTGGCCTCTGGTTGCATCTCTATATCATCAACCATTTTTAGACTTGAAATCGATACCGAGTCCTGGTCTAAGTCACTTCCTTGGACGCCAAGCTTTTTCGAGTCCATTTTCTTGGGATGATCTGTTGTTTCCCTCAGCATACCAGTGTAAGGATTTTCAGAACAACCGAGGAAAGGTGAATCAAGAGTTTGCGAAAATTTAGCTTCTAATGCTGTCTTCACATTAACAACATCCAACTCTTGGTTATATTCGAGCAAAGAATCTACTGAAAGATTCTTGTAAAAGTCACTATCTCTTTTCAAATCCTGGAAATCGTCTCCTTTGTGATTGGTTTCAAACTTGGCCATATGTATAAAATCAAGATATAGAGTTTTCTCAACAGCAGGACTTTCACTTCGAAAAGAAGGTCTAGCATGCTCCTAAATAAGAAAGGTTAAATTAGATAATCACGAATGAAATAATAACTTGGAAGAAAATTTGATAGAGGTAGGCTAAACCTGTTTTGCAGTTGAACTACAACCTGCATTACTTTGAACCTTATTCTCCATTCTTACTCCTGTCATTGGATTCAAGGCGCGAAAATGAGGAAATAGTCCACAAGCGGTAGTATTAGTAGTGTAGTTTCTCGAATCATCGCGTTCAACCACGCCTCCTTCCCTATACCGTACCGATTTCGGTTTATGCTGATTAAGAGGAGATAACTTGACAGAACTCCCAATTTTCCATAACTGTTTCTGTTGTCCTTGTCCAAAACTTGCCTTCTTGGGAGCACATTGAGGTGTTTCAGATATCATTGCCTTCGCAGCAGGCAAGAACCGATCAATCATGAAATCGCGACCTTCTTCATCCCTCAAGAAACTTCCATTCCGTCGAACTAGTACCTCGCGATCGTCCGAACTCATACTACTCCTCATGAAGAATGACTCTTTCCTAGAAAGTGTGTCGCGCGCATATTGAAAACTCTCTTCTTCATCATCCGAATCAGAATCTCCCTCCTTTTCCCTCTCAATAACTGATATATCTTTTGGTTTTCCGGGTGTTTTCTCCCATTGAAACGGAACTGCACCGGCATTTCGCACCGAACCTGAACCTGAACTTAACTCTGATTTGTAAGAAGCAAGATATGGTAATGTAGCAGATGAGTTATCTGATTCAGAAGCTATTGTTGATGTGAATCTCCTCACTGATAAAAGTGGCTGGTTGAGATTTAACTGCTTTTTTTCCATTACTTTCTGTAAAACAATAAATTCAAATTCAAATTCAAACTCAGCATGTTCCAAGAAAAAAAATACGAAAAAGTTTCAAGAATTTAGCCATGCATGCGAGTAAAATGAAACAAGAACGACAAAGAAATTCACAGTGAGAAAGAGACGAAGATGGAATGAAGTTTTTTGTTCTCTAGAGGACACTGGGAATTTATTTTCTTGGACGAGAAAATGTGAGAAAGAAGAGAAAGAAAGGAATTAGTTTTGAGAATAAACTATTTAATACGCTTGTGTTTATTATTGCTTGCTTCAAGAGGTGAGAAAATGGTTCTTCTCTCTTGTTTATTTATTTTTGTATGGGAGAAAGAAAAATGTACGTTACATTTTGGGTTCTGAATATTTAATGTTGATGAATAGTTATTTTAAGTTCTTCCCTTTAGTGGTGACTGGAATAATATTAGAAGCACATTTGTCTACTACATTATCATTTTTTCTATTTATCAAACTAGTTTCGATCCAAAACTAAGTAATTTGATTTTGTAGTTTAGAAGAACGACTCACTAACCAAGTATTGTTTACATCAAGAATCAAACTCGGGTAGTTGAACGATTCGTCCTTAGCGGAAACTCATTTCTCACTAAAACCCAAATATTTGATTTCTAATGATAGTCCCTCAGTTTCAAAGTGATTGTTATTTAATATTATCATAAAATATTGTACTTTTAATAAACTAACCTAATAGTGTATAAAGTACTATATAAAGGACACATTTGAAAAAATAGCAAATATTTTTACATTGAAAAGTAATAATGACATTCATTTTAAACAAATTTAATTAAGTAAAATGATAGTCATTGTAGAACGGAGAGAATACTAGTTGAGTATTTATCATATAAGAAAAAGAACTACTCTTTAAAATTCTAAAATGCCCATCTCTTTTCACATTGAGCCATGTGGCTGATCTAACAATTCAGCATCATTACTATGCAATCTTTTCACCATCCATTGAATTCCAACCATTTTTTTATCTTAACTCCAAACGCTTTCTTTTTTTTCTCACACACTCTCTCTCTTTTCCCCAACCACTTTTTTCTCTCTCTTCTTTCTCTTACGTGTTACATCTCTCACATTCCTCTCTATTTTCTTCTTCTTGATATTCTCTCATTCACTTATAGTCATCACTTTATCTTCATCAATCTTTTACACAGTTAAAATTAATTTCTATTTTCCCTTTTTGTTTTCCAGGTTATAGATCTGATTGTATCTGACCAGAAGGAATCTTCGATGGCTCACAAGCTTGAATGAGACATTTGTTGAAGTGAATGGGGGTATCCACAAAGTACTTTGATGCCAAACTAAGAGTCTAGACAATCAGAGTGCAAGTAACAGAAGTGAAGTTGAATGAAAGAATACTCGACTCTCTCATGTGAGAGGATATTTATAGCCCCCAACGTTGGGCCAAGTGATTAAGGCCTAATAACAAAGACTGTCAGGGTTACATGGGTAATAGGATCCAGCACGTGGCCCCCTCCCTGGTAAAGCGCCCTGAAAATATAGGGACAGTGGACCCGTTATTCTCTAAGGGCAAGTGGCAGTTGATGTGACTGTTGACCATGTTCCTTAACGGGCACATGTAGGAAATCCCCAACGGTTATCTGACTTGAGCCTGGAGCTATTGGGTCATAGGCAGAGGCGCTGGATTGGACCGGCCCATCTATAGGCCAAGTGCCAGCTCGGCCAAGAACATGAGCCCCCCAAGTTATTACTCTTAGACAAGAGAGTGATAACTTAAGGTCTGTTGGGTTGTCGGGGAAACTTTGCTCGAAAAAGAGACTGTTATTTTAACTCGAGGAGACATTGTTCGAAGAAGAGAGTGTATTTTGGGTCGAGGAGACATTTCCCGAGGGAAAGGCTGCTTTTTGGATCGAGGAAATATGGTCTTCAGTTGATTGACCTCATCTCCCTTCTCCTTGATTGCGAGCAACCTTTGAAGGATTTTCCTCGACTGAGTCGTTGACTACCTGCCTTCGCGCACTAGTCTCCTCGAGGTGCCCGCAAGAGAGTTCTTCACGTTCATGGAGAAAGCACAGGAATCTCGAGCTTGTCTTCTTGTGGTGCCCGTGAGAGAGTGCTTCACGTTTGCGGGAAAATTGCAGGAATCTCTTATGATCTCCTTTCTATGATGCCTGCGTGAGGAGAGTGTCACAACTATGTCACGCATGTGCTCGTTGGTAAAGGTCTTGAGACCTTGCATCAGCGCGTGGATTCATGTGGGATTCTTTGAAGTTTAAACAACGCATCCCTTCACGTGTCATTCGTGGCGACTGTTCAGATTGTCATTATTGCTTGGGGAAGCTTAAAGACCTAAGCAATGATGACTCCTGGCATGCTACCCGTATGGTGGGAACTTGCTATAAAAAGAGGGTGAAGGAATTCTCTTAAACATTTTCACTTTCATTCTCCTCCTGCACCTCCTCTGTTTGCAAGTTGCTTCATTGTTGTTGCCATTGTTGAAGGTTTTCCAGCGTTCGTTTGTCTCCAAGTAAGTGATTTTCTTCAAGCTTCATTAGTTTACTTTAGGGTTTTAGATGATTGAATGAAGTTTTCTGGAGAATTCACGAGTTCTGGGTGAAGTTTCATGAATCTTCATGAAGTTTTCGATCAAATTCATGAAGACTCATGACACTTTCGGTGAAGTTCATGAAGATTCATGACACTTTCGATGAAGTTCATGGACTTTGGATAAAGATCCATTAGTTTCGTTTGAAGGATCCTGAGCTTTGGATGAACTTTATGTGGATCTATGTCGGGGATTGGCCCCTCGTGAATTGGGTAGATACGGGAAATACAACTCTATGTTGGGGATTAACCCCTCGTGAACTAGGTTGATACGGGAGAGCCACCTCTCCTCGTGATCTTATGCTCGCTTGAGGGGGTTTCTTCCTTCGTGGGTTTCAAGGGCTTGACTCGAGGACCTCCCCTCGAAGTGTTCCTCACCCTTTCACTTAATTTGCGGTGGAAGGGTGGATTTGATGATATCGAATTCACTATTTTCCCCTGCTTTTCAGGTTAAATGGCTCAATTGGTCGAGGAGGTTAATTTTCCCGATCTTCAGGGTGAAGAAAATGCCAACGCGGGCCATAATGAAAACGCATGAAACAATTTGGACTGGATTGCGCCCGAGCCCAGAAATCTGATGTCTGAATTCGTCCATAATGCCTCGGATGCCTTCAATGTTGTCGAGGATATGGCCTAGGATGCTCCTGCCTCTTGGTCAATTCTTATTATGTACAAGAGTCGGGGGATCTGTTCGGCCTACCCGGGAAAGCGCTTTCCAATGTACCAGTTCTCTTTCAAGGAGGCGGGGATGGGCTTGTCCTTTACAGCTTTCCAAGTTGGAGTTCTCATATGGTTGCACCTGGCGTCTTCCCAGCTTCACCCGAACGTGCTCGCGTTCATGCGGACATTTGAGATCTTTTGTCGGTATCTTAATATTAATGCTACTTTACCTATGTTCTTTCGAATCTTCCACCTTCAACAACAAATGATCATGGGTCTCCAAGCCTGGGTGTCGTTCAAGCAGCACATAAAGTTATTGCGACCTTATCTGGAGTCTGTCCAGCATTTCAAGGAAAGGTTTTATGTCATGAAGCCACTTTCAGACGCGACCTTGGACTCACTGTATGAGCGTACCGTAGAGATCAAGGATGGTCGGGAGGTGACTAAGTTTCTGGCGAGATTCCCCCTTGAGTGGCAGTGGACGCATTATGAACAAAAGCCAGAAAGTTATTTGGTAAAGCCCGAGAAGCTGGGCACTCAGGATAGGCTTGCCTACAATAAATTGGCAGCCTATATAAAGAGCTTCTCCCCGACCAAATGTGTGGACTCAGACAACAACTTTATTTTTGATGATGAGGGGGAACACATGGTTGTTGCCCACCTCATAAATACAAAGATGCTCCTCGAGTGCTCATCTGATGTGCCTGTATTAGATGTTTGTCTGTTTTGTTTTGTAGACTAAATTGTTCCCTTTTTGGATTGCAGGTCGAATGGCCATTTTCGAAGAATGTTTGCTCAAGCTGAGGGGAAAATCTGGCCAAAAATCGCCCAAAGGGTGTGCTGCCCAGATCCAAAAACAAGCTAAACTTGGTGCCCATGCCGGTGGTTCCTCTTCCCCTCAAGGTGGCTAAGTTTCTCCACCTGAACAGCCCGCGAAAAGGACGCGCGGGGAGAGTACAGACCGTGTGGCCACTGAAGATAAAGTCAAGGGCGTCGGGGAAACGTTTGTTTCCTCCCCTTGTTATCTCCACCGTGACATCTTTAGCGGGGACGATGCCCTAGGTCTCCATGAAGGGGAGCGGGAAGCCATCATGTCTGTGGGCAAGGAGGTTCGACCCAAGAATTTGTCTGAGAACGTGGCCACCGTGATGAGGGTTCTTGAAACAACTTTGACCCTTAATGATGCGGAGACGTGCTCGAAGGAGGAGCTCGACAAAGCGTATGACCGAATTCACAAATTGAAGCTTCAAAATGAAAAACTGAAGAATGATAATCTCAATCATGAGCCGAAGTATGAGTCTCAGGTGCGTCTCCTAAAGGATTTAAACGAGGTAAGGCCAAATATGAAGGAGGTGTCAGAGGAGAATGAGAGGCTTTCTTCCCGAGTAAATGAGTTGGAGGGGATCGTGGAGCCTGCTGATGAGGAGACTGACATGGAGACGGCCCTTCAAACGAGGAAAAAGTTAATCGATCAGATTTGTGTGCTCGAGTAATATGGCATGGATACCCTCAGCTATGATTTTAACACCTCTGTGGCCCAACTCAAAATCATAAACAACAGGGTCAAGCTCGTGACCAGGGGAATGGGCCTTTCAATCAATTGGTTGGCAAGAAGATAATATATGCCCCAGGAGATGAACCTGGATCGGACAGCGAGGAGGATGGTGGAGATTAGAAGCTTTGGGTCTGTGTGCCTGTATGTTTTCTCGGCCTGCTTGCCAAATTTTTATTGTTTTGGGCAC